CCACATAGAGACCCACAGACTCACACAGAGACCCATAGACTCACATAGAGACCCATAGACTCACATAGAGACCCATAGACTCACACAGAGACCCATAGACTCACAGAGAGACCCATAGACTCACATAGAAACCCATATACTCACATAGAGGCCCATAGACTCACATAGAAACCCATATACTCACATAGAGACCCATAGACTCACATAGAAACCCATATACTCACATAGAGACCCATAGACTCACATAGAAACCCACAGACTCACATAGAGACCCATAGACTCACATAGAGACCCACAGACTCACCACACAGAGACCCACAGACTCACCACACAGAAACCCACAGACTCACCACACAGAGACCCAGAGACTCATCACACAGAGACCCACAGACTCACCACACAGAGACCCACAGACTCACCACACAGAGACCCACAGACTCACTACACAGAAACCCACAGACTCACCACACAGAGAACCACAGACTCACACAGAGACCCACAGACTCACTACACAGAGACCCACAGATTCACCACACAGAGACCCAGAGACTCACCACACCGAAACCCATAGACTCACCACACAGAGACCCACAGACTCACCATAGAGACCCATAGACTCACCACATAGAGACCCACAGACTCACCACACAGAGATCCTCAGACTCACCACACAGAGACCCATAGACTCACCACACAGAGACCCATATACTCACATAGAGACCCACAGACTCACCACACAGAGACCCACAGACTCACCACACAGAGACCAACAGACTCATCACACAGAGACCCACAGACTCACCACACAGAAACCCACAGACTCACCACACAGAGACCCACAGACTCACCACACAGAGTTCATAGTTCATAGTTTCATTTATTTGGTATAGCCCTGTGAGCCATTCGGCTCTTGAATCGGGTGCAACCACAACAAACTAAAAACATGAACAAGGAAAAACATCTTAAAGTGACTACTTTGTGTGTGACTGTGCAAACAGAAAATCCAGGGGAAAAAAAACATCAAAATATTCCTGAAATAGCACCGTACCCCACCAACGCTGTGTACAAAAATCCCAGTGGGATGTAAGTCAAAACAACAACAACCACAAGACAACTAAGATTAAGGCCATCAGTCTAACTCAGTACTACAATAAACAAAAACATGGCCAAAACCCCCCCCCAAAAAAACGTTTTCGAAATCACCAAAATAAAAGCCACAAATGCAATGTAACAGTGATCATAGGGACTGTGACCGAATTTCTAAAACAATAAACTACGTAAATAAATTATAACACCAAAATCTAGAGCCATATTTTAGGCCACTGAATTAGCGGTGGCAGCTAGGGGTGTAACAACTCCTCTAGAGCAGTTTTGAGCGAAGATCTCATAGGTAAGTGATTCAAGTTGCAGTTTATTAGCATTCCAGACCCTGGGGGCATCAATAGCAAAGGCCCTTCCTCCAGTTTTTGTACGGCAATAGGGGAATGTGTAGCTGGTAAATGAGCGAAGACCTGAGGTCAAATTTGTTCCTTGAAACAGAGAGGAGATCCAGCAGCAGGTAGTCTGCGGATTTTCTTTGTAAGTACATCGTGAATAAATAAGATCTGGTGCACAAGCCGTCGAACATTAAGAGATGTTAAGTTTGACCCAATGTAGAGGTCACAGTGGTGAGTCCTATATGGGCAGTTCAATGGAAATCTTAAGGCCGAGTGATAGATGGAATCAAGCTTCTTCAGTACAGTACTTGGGGCTGATTTATACACGATATCACACTAGTCAAGTAGAGGCACCACACAGAGACACACAGACTCACCACACAGAGACCCACAGACTCACCACAGAGACCCATAGACTCACCACACAGAGACCCACAGACTCACCACACAGAGACCCATAGACTCACCACACAGAGACCCACAGACTCACCACACAGAGACCCACAGACTCACCACAGAGACCCATAGACTCACCACACAGAGACCCACAGACTCACCACACAGACCCACAGACTCACCACACAGAGACCCACAGACTCACCACACAGAGACCCATAAACTCACATAGAGACCCACAGACTCACCACTCAGAGACCCACAGACTCACCACATAGAGACCCATAGACTCACCACACAGAGACCCATAGACTCACATAGAGACCCACAGACTCACCACACAGAGACCCACAGACTCACCACACAGAGACCCACAGACTCACCACACAGAGACCCACAGACTCACCACACAGAGACCCATAAACTCACATAGAGACCCACAGACTCACCACTCAGAGACCCACAGACTCACCACACAGAGACCAACAGACTCATCACACAGAGACCCACAGACTCACCACACAGAGACCCACAGACTCACCACACAGAGACCCATAAACTCACATAGAGACCCACAGACTCACCACACAGAGACCAATAGACTCACTACACAGAGACCCACAGACTCACCACAGAGACCCATAGATTCACCACACAGAGACCCATAGACTCACCACAGAGACCCACAGACTCACCACACAGAGACCCACAGACTCACCACACAGAGACCCACAGACTCACCACAGAGACCCATAGACTCACCACACAGAGACCCACAGACTCACCACACAGAGACCCATAGACTCACCACACAGAGACCCACAGACTCACCACACAGAGACCCACAGACTCACCACAGAGACCCACAGACTCACCACACAGAGACTCACAGACTCACCACACAGAGACCCACAGACTCACCACACAGAGACCCACAGACTCACCACAGAGACCCATAGACTCACCACACAGAGACCCATAGACTCACCACACAGAGACCCACAGACTCACCACACAGAGACCCACAGACTCACCACACAGAGACCCATAGACTCACCACACAGAGACCCATAGACTCACCACACATAGACCCATAGACTCACCACACAGAGACCCATAGACTCACCACACAGAGACCCACAGACTCACCACACAGAGACCCATAGACTCACCACACAGAGACCCATAGACTCACCACACAGAGACCCATAGACTCACCACACAGGGACCCATAGACTCACCACATAGAGACCCATAGACTCACCACACAGAGACCCATAGACTCACATAGAGACCCACAGACTCACCACACAGAGACCCACAGACTCACCACACAGAGACCCATAGACTCACCACACAGAGACCCATAGACTCACCACACAGAAACCCACAGACTCACCACACAGAGACCCACAGACTCACCACACAAAGACCCACATACTCACATAGAGACCCACAGACTCACCACACAGAGACCCACAGACTCACCACACAGAGACACACAGACTCACCACACAGAGACCCATAGACTCACCACACAGAGACCCATAGACTCACCACACAGAGACCCACAGACTCACCACACAGAGACCCACAGACTCACCACACAGAGACCCACAAACTCACCACAGAGACCCATAGACTCACCACACAGAGACCCACAGACTCACCACACAGAGACCCATAGACTCACCACACAGAGACCCACAGACTCACCACACAGAGACCCACAGACTCACCACACAGAGACCCATAGACTCACCACACAGAGACCCATAGACTCACCACACATAGACCCATAGACTCACCACACAGAGACCCATAGACTCACCACACAGAGACCCACAGACTCACCACACAGAGACCCATAGACTCACCACACAGAGACCCATAGACTCACCACACAGAGACCCATAGACTCACCACACAGGGACCCATAGACTCACCACATAGAGACCCATAGACTCACCACACAGAGACCCATAGACTCACATAGAGACCCACAGACTCACCACACAGAGACCCACAGACTCACCACACAGAGACCCATAGACTCACCACACAGAGACCCATAGACTCACCACACAGAAACCCACAGACTCACCACACAGAGACCCACAGACTCACCACACAAAGACCCACAGACTCATCACACAGAGACACACAGACTCACCACACAAAGACCCACATACTCACATAGAGACCCACAGACTCACCACACAGAGACCCACAGACTCACCACACAGAGACACACAGACTCACCACACAGAGACCCATAGACTCACCACACAGAGACCCATAGACTCACCACACAGAGACCCACAGACTCACCACACAGAGACACACAGACTCACCACACAGAGACCCACAAACTCACCACAGAGACCCATAGACTCACCACACAGAGACCCACAGACTCACCACAGAGAGACCCACAGACTCACCACACAGAGACCCACAGACTCACCACACAGAGACCCACAGACTCACCACACAGAGACCCATAGACTCACCACACAGAGACCCACAGACTCACCACCATATGCGGTCAAAGAAGAGCTTTATAGTTTCTCGGATTTACCATCTCTTGGCCAGCCTCATGAATAATTAATTACTGGCTCAGTGGGGGCGGGGCTTTCGGACTTCGCGGCCATTGATTGGCTCGGAGCCAACCCGTGCTCTTGAATAATTAATTAGGCGAGGGAGTGTGGGTGACGACGTCACGACCACCTGGGAGTCACCTGCCTCATGAATAATTAATTTGGCGAACTGCCGGGTGGGGCGTGGGTGACGTGATGACGTCATGTCCACCTGTAAGCCTCGCGCGGGGTACGTCACACACACACACACCTGCCTCGTGAATAATTAATTAGGCGAACTGCCGGGGTGGGGCGTGGGGGACTTGATGACGTCATGTCCACCTGTAAGCCTCGCGCGGGGTACGTCACACACACACCTGGCTCATGAATAATTAATAATAGAGATCTAGGGGGAGGTGGTTGAAGGGGTGGATGACGTCACGGCAACCCGACCTTTCTCATGAATAATTAATTAGGCGGTCGGACGTGGGGGGGGGGGGTGGCGACAGTGGGGGAGGATTTTGAGGGGGGTGTGGGGGCGGGGGGGGGGAGTGCGGGGGGCGGGTGGGGGAGTGCGGGGGGCGGGGCTCCCACCCCACCCGCGTGACGTCACTTCCGCCCCGTGCTTTTTGCCGCCATTTCGCGAAGTTTGCTGCGCGCGCGGCTCGCCTCGCGCCACTTCCGCCCCCTCGCGCCGCTCCTCTCCGCGCCGTCTCCAACTGCCATGGACGGGTGAGGGCACCGCAAACTCACCGCAAACTCACCACCACCACCATAAACTCACCACTACCATAAACTCACCACTACCTCACCACACAAACTCACCACCACCATAAACTCACCACCATAAACTCACCACTACCTCACCACACAAACTCACCGCAAACTCACCACCACCACCATAAACTCACCACTACCTCACCACACAAACTCACCGCAAACTCACCACCACCACCATAAACTCACCACCACCATAAACTCACCACTACCTCACAATAAACTCACCACCACCATAAACTCACCACTACCTCACCACACAAACTCACCACCACCATAAACTCACCACCACCATAAACTCACCACTACCTCACAATAAACTCACCACCATAAACTCAAACTCACCACCATAAACTCACCACCACTAACTCACCACCACCTCAAACTCACCGCAAACTCACCACCACCACCATAAACTCACCACCACCATAAACTCACCACTACCTCACCACACAAACTCACCACACAAACTCACCACCACCATAAACTCACCACCACCATAAACTCACCACTACCTCACAATAAACTCACCACCATAAACTCAAACTCACCACCATAAACTCACCACCACTAACTCACCACCACCTCAAACTCACCGCAAACTCACCACCACCATAAACTCACCACCACCATAAACTCACCACTACCTCACAATAAACTCACCACACAAACTCACCACCATAAACTCACCACCATAAACTCACCATTACCTCACCACACAAACTCACCGCAAACTCACCACCACCACCATAAACTCACCACCACCATAAACTCACCACTACCTCACAATAAACTCACCACACAAACTCACCACCATAAACTCACCACCATAAACTCACCATTACCTCACCACACAAACTCACCGCAAACTCACCACCACCACCATAAACTCACCACCACCATAAACTCACCACCACTAACTCACCACCACCTCAAACTCACCACACAAACTCACCGCAAACTCACCACCACCATAAACTCACCACCATAAACTCACCACTACCTCACAATAAACTCACCACCATAAACTCAAACTCACCACCATAAACTCACCACCACTAACTCACCACCACCTCAAACTCACCACACAAACTCACCGCAAACTCACCACCACCACTAACTCACCACCACCACTAACTCACCACCACTAACTCACCACCATAAACTCACCACTACCTCACAATAAACTCACCACACAAACTCACCACCATAAACTCAAACTCACCACCACCACCAACTCAAACTCACCACCACCAACTCAAACTCACCACCACCAACTCAAACTCACCACCACTAACTCACCATAAACTCACCACTACCTCACCACACAAACTCACCACCACTAACTCACCACCATAAACTCACCATTACCTCACCATACAAACTCACCGCAAACTCACCACCACCACCATAAACTCACCACTACCTCACAATAAACTCACCACACAAACTCACCACCATAAACTTACCACTACCTCACCACCACCTCACCACTACCTCACCACACAAACTCACCACCACTAACTCACCACCGCAAACTCACCACCGCAAACTCACCACACAAACTCACCACCACTAACTCACCAGCACCTGAAACTCACCACCACCAACTCAAACTCACCACCACCATCATAAACTCAAAACTCACCACCACCATAAACTCACCACCACTAACTCACCATAAACTCACCACTACCTCACCACACAAACTCACCACCACTAACTCACCACCACCAACTCAAACTCACCACCACCACCAACTCAAACTCACCACCACCACCAACTCAAACTCACCACCACCACCAACTCAAACTCACCACCACCACCAACTCAAACTCACCACCACCAACTCAAACTCACCACCACCAACTCAAACTCACCACCACCAACTCAAACTCACCACCACCAACTCAAACTCACCACCACCAACTCAAACTCACCACCACCAACTCAAACTCACCACCACCAACTCAAACTCACCACCACCATAAACTCACCACCACTAACTCACCATAAACTCACCACTACCTCACCACACAAACTCACCACCACTAACTCACCACCACCAACTCAAACTCACCACCACCAACTCAAACTCACCACCACCAACTCAAACTCACCACCACCTCAAACTCACCACCACCACTAACTCAAACTCACCACCATAAACTCAAACTCACCACACAAACTCACCACCACCACCATAAACTCACGACCACCACCAACTCAAACTCACCACCACCAACTCAAACTCACCACCTCAAACTCACCACCACCACTAACTCAAACTCACCACCATAAACTCAAACTCACCACACAAACTCACCACCACCACCATAAACTCACGACCACCATAAACTCAAACTCACCACCACCACCAACTCAAACTCACCACGACCACCAACTCAAACTCACCACCACCAACTCAAACTCACCACCATAAACTCACCACCACCATAAACTCACCACCACCATAAACTCACCACCACCATCAACTCAAACTCACCACCACCACTAACTCACCACCACCATAAACTCACCACCACCACCATCAACTCAAACTCACCACCACCACCACTAACTCACCACCACCACCATAAACTCACCACCATAAACTCACCATAAACTCACCACCACCATAAACTCAAACTCACCACCACCATAAACTCAAACTCACCACCACCACCATAAACTCACCACCACCAACTCAAACTCACCACCACCATAAACTCAAACTCACCACCAACTCAAACTCACCACCACCATAAACTCAAACTCACCACCACCAACTCAAACTCACCACCATAAACTCAAACTCACCATCACCACCATAAACTCAAACTCACCACCACCATAAACTCAAACTCACCACCACTATAAATTCAAACTCACCACCACCATAAACTCACCACCACCATAAACTCACCACCACAAACTCAAACTCACCACCACAAACTCACCATAAACTCACCATAAACTCACCACACAAGCTCACTACAAACCCACCACCATAAACTCACCACACAAACTCACCACCACAAACTCACCACCACCATAAACTCACCACCACCAACTCACCACACAAACTCCCCACAAACTCACCACCACAAACTCACCACCACACAAACTCACCACCACCGCTCCTCCTCACCACCATAAACTCACCACAAACTCACCGCTCCTCACCACCACAAACTCACCATAAACTCACCACAAACTCACCGCTCCTCACCACCACAAACTCACCATAAACGCACCACAAACTCACCGCTCCTCACCACCACAAATTCACCATAAACTCACCACGCAACCTCAGCCACACCTCATCCACAAACTCACCACAAACTCACCACAAACTCACCACACTCGTCCACAAACTCACCACGCAAACTCACCACAAACTCACCGCTCCTCACCACCACGCAACCTCACCACAAACTCACCCACACCTCGTCCACACCTCACCACGCAACCTCACCACGCAAACTCACCACAACCTCACCCACACCTCATCCACAACCTCATCCACAACCTCACCCACACCTCGTCCACAAACTCACCACAAACTCACCCGCACCTCATCCACACCTCACCCAACACCTCATCCACAACCTCACCACAACCTCACCCACACCTCATCCACAACCTCACCCGCACCTCGTCCACAAACTCACCACAAATTCACCACAACCTCACCCACACCTCATCCACACCTCACCCACACCTCACCCACACCTCATCCACAAACTCACCCGCACCTCGTCCACAACCTCACCACAACCTCACCACAACCTCACCCAACACCTCATCCACAACCTCACCCACACCTCACCCAACACCTCATCCACAACCTCATCCACAACCTCACCCACACCTCACCCAACACCTCATCCACAACCTCACCCAACACCTCATCCACAACCTCACCCAACACCTCATCCACAACCTCACCCACACCTCACCCAACACCTCATCCACAACCTCACCCAACACCTCATCCACAACCTCACCCACACCTCACCCAACACCTCATCCACAACCTCACCCAACACCTCATCCACAACCTCACCCACACCTCACCCAACACCTCACCCACACCTCACCCGCACCTCACCCACACCCTCACCCAACACCGCATCCACAACCTCACCCACAACCTCACCCACACCTCACCCACACCTCATCCACAACCTCACCCACAACCTCACCCACACCTCACCCACACCTCATCCACAACCTCACCCGCACCTCATCCACAACCTCACCCACACCCTCACCCAACACCTCACCCACAACCTCACCCACACCTCACCCACACCTCACCCACACCTCACCCACAACCTCACCCGCACCTCATCCACAACCTCACCACGCAACCTCATCCAACACCTCATCCACAACCTCACCCACACCTCATCCACAACCTCACCACGCAACCTCACCCACACCTCACCCAATACCTCACCCACAACCTCACCCACACCTCACCCACACCTCACTCACACCTCATCCACAACCTCACCCGCACCTCATCCACAACCTCACCACGCAACCTCATCCAACACCTCATCCACAACCTCACCCACACCTCACCCACAACCTCACCCACACCTCACCCACACCTCACCCAACACCTCATCCACAACCTCACCCAACACCTCACCCACACCTCATCCACACCTCACCCAACACCTCACCACGCAACCTCACCCACACCCTCACCCACACCTCATCCACACCTCACCCAACACCTCATCCACAACCTCACCCAACACCTCACCCACACCTCATCCACACCTCACCCAACACCTCACCCAACACCTCACCCAACACCTCACCCACACCTCATCCACAACCTCACCCACACCCTCACCCAACACCTCATCCACAACCTCACCCACACCTCATCCACAACCTCACCCACAACCTCACCCACACCTCACCCAATACCTCAC